CATTAATAGACTCATCAATCGAAGAGCAAAAATTAGAGAAAGATTTTCTAGTTGCCTTTCTAATTAGCAGTTGTGAAATTATAATTTTATCTTTTAATTTATCTAAGTTATCAGGAGTAGGGTTTTTCCTAAATAAAGCAATAGCTAGGCGCCTTTCTGCAACAGATTTATATAAGTTGGTATTCCAATATACTTTAGGAGAAAAATGTTGTGAGGGATCTTCTGGACTGCCTACGTTAATGTATATGTTAGAAAGAACGAGAACTCTCCGATAGTGACAATCACTAATGAAAGTCCAATCAAACAGATCTTCGACAGTGCATGACTGGATATGTATTTAGCATTTAAAATTAGTGTCCCTATACTTTCATTCTCTGATAATTGTATTCTAATATTGGGAACCCTGAAAAACGTAACATTGTAAACAATACCCGAATATACTCACTCACTCCGCTCTCCAATACGTTCAAAACCACATGCACACACTCCAAATCAATCACACAAAAATATCACAACACATTCCCATCCGTTTACATTCACAACAATCACAATCGACACTCAAGATATCTACAAATTAGCCTACATAAAACAAATTGTACCCTTTGCTGTGAGCGCTCGTTCTTATTTTTACGGCGTGTGACCACTTCCTTTAGAAAAGAAATTCAGTCCAAATGTTTATATATTAATGATGGATAACGTCAGAAACTTGAAATTGACAATATCGCTGTGGCAAAATCTGTCACATGCGACATATGGGACATAAACAAACATATTGGCCTTAACAAAAATGATCTTACACTAATTCAACAAAATATCAGAAGCATCTACTGTAACTTCAATAACTTTGAGGTGACACTATCCGATCTTAGCTCAGATACTGACGTTATAATACTTACGGAATGTCACCTTAACATAAATAAACCCGTCCCCTCTTTTAGTAACTACACTGATTATGCTACTACCTTTAATTGTAACCAAAATGATGGAGTGGTCATCTACGCCAAATCTAAGTTAAACCCAATTTTTAAAGAACATCACCTTGATAATGCCTCGTGTATACAGCTGAATGTTTGTGGGTGTGCAATACTTGGTATTTACCGATCACCGTCACAAACGCACTCATCTAATTTTACTGCCTCATTGAATAATTTACTGGAAACGTTAAAATGTAATAGAAATATTATAATCTCTGGCGATATAAATATAAACTTAATTAGGAAAGATAACGAAACATCTTACGAGTGTAATAAACCTTGACATGCTTACATCACATAGTCTCTTTAACTGATCATACTTCAGTCTTTATGAGCATCGCTAAAGTAAAAAAATAGCTACCATTCTCCAACTATCAAGACCTTTATTGACTTTGAAGAAGCTGCTGAGAGACTTATAAACAAACATGTATCCAATCTGTTATTTAGTGAAGACCCTAACTTTGTAATTGCTCGTCTTATTAATAAACTCAAATCAACCCTTGATGAGAGTGTTAGAGTTAAGAGGATCTCGAGTAAACAACGCATCATTAAACCTTGGATCACCAACGATTTACTACGCTGTATAAGGAACAGAAACATAATGCAACTTAAGTTAAGGTCTGACCCGTATAATGCAATACTGAAAATAACATTTAGTAGGTACCGTAATTACTGTCATAAATTAATTAAAAAAACTAAAACGCAAATAGGAATCTGAACAACTAAAAGCTAATATTAAAAACCCTAAAGCCCTTATGGCAATCAATCAAAGAAATAACGCATCTTAACTTATCTAAAACTAGAAGCTGTGAATTACTTAATTCTCCAAGTTCTCCCATAGAGACAGTAAACTATGCAAATTATTTCTTTGTGAACGTCGGTAAGCGACTTGCTGCTGACATCCAAAGTAGGTGCCCACAACCGGATGGTAACTTAATAGCTACCCCAAAAACACAACTATCTTCTTTTGTACTTCTGGAGACTGACCCCATGGAAGTCGACTTGGTTATCTCAAACTTGAAGACTGACAGTGCTCCCGGCTGGGACGGTATACAAACAAAATTCATAAAAATGGTTAAACCCATTATTAGACATCTAGCCAATCTCTGCTTCAGAAAAGGGATGTTTCCCACCCTGCTTAAAAAATCTATAGTTACACCCGTCTACAAGGATGGTGACAAAAAAGATATAACTAATTATCGACCGACTTCAGTCTTGTCGGTTATTTCTAAAGTTATCGAGAGACTAATAAATTCACGCCTTATTAACTACCTTGAAAAATTTTATATTTTATCCAGTTTCCAATTTGGTTTCAGAAAAACAAAGTCTACAGAAGACGCCATTTCAGGCTTAACCTCCTTAGTAACCCAGTATTTAGATCATGAAAAAAAGTGCCTGACAGTCTTCTTAGATTTAATAAAAGCTTTCGACACGGTGTCGGTCCCCACCCTTGTAAGAAAAATGGAAAGTATTGGCATTAGGGGAGTTCCACTAAAACTCCTAACTGATTACCTTAGAGACCGGTCCCAATGCGTAAAAATTGACAATTAAAATAGTACTGACACTACATTTGAGTACGGTGTTCCCCAAGGTAGTGTTTTAGGTCCTACATTGTTCTTAATATACCTCAATGAACTAACTAACCTCAAAATTGAAGGAGGGCACGTATTCTCATACGCAGATGACACAGCCATAGCATTTAATGGTACATCCTGGAAATCTGTTTTTGCGGCTGCCGAGCACGGTCTCCACAGGGTTGCAATGTGGCTCAAATCCGCTCTTCTTACCCCGAACATCGCCAAAACTAACTTTATTTGCTATGCAATCGATAAGCGTACTTTACCGCCCCCAAATCTGATATTAAGAATGTGACATACTGTGACATTACTTGTAATGGGCAATGTGGGTGCGATGAGATTGAGCATGTTAAATGTACTATATACCTTGGAGTAACTCTGAACCATCGACTATGTTGGCACCCTCAAATTGATGCTATAAATAATGGGATCCGTAAACTCATATGGGTCTTTAAAAAGTTAAGACATGTTAGTTCTCAAAAACTTTTAAAATATACATACATTGCATTGGCTCAATCTGTTATGAGTTATTGCATTCCCATCTGGGGTGGCGCCACCTAAACTAAATTCCTCGAGGCAGAAAGAGCGCAGAGATGTGAGCTCCTTAAGACAATGTTTTTTAAACCATTTAGTTTTCCTACTGATGAACTATATAACATCATAAAATATTGTCATTAAGAAAACTCTATATTATCAAGTCTGTCCTTAAATTACATAAGTCCTTGCCGTATGAACACAAAGTTCAAACAGGTAGAAGGAAGTGTAAAGTAGCTCCTATTACTCCATGTAGAACTCTTTTTGCCAGACGTCAGTTTCAAGCTCACTCTGCCTATCTCTACAATAAGCTTCACAACAAATATTCAATATATAACCTTCAACTATATGAATGTAAAAAAAAAAACAATAGTTCACTGGCTCGAGGCGCTAGGGTATCATGACGTGGAGGACTTTTTATTTAAATACGAATCGTAGACAATACAAATTTTAATGATTTATCATCACACAGGCAGTCATTCTCAGAAACATGCACACACACACACACACACACACACACACACACACACACACACACACACACACACTTTGACATAAAATATAGTGGTTATTAACCGATCCCAAGATTTTTTATCGCAGTTTTGGCACAATGTAATATCTGAAAATAAATTTCAGATATTACATTGTGCCAAAACATTCAGTATTCTAGCCCTTGAAATATTGTAAAATCTATAGATTAGTTTAGTTATTAAAAACACTAAAAATAAATATTGTATTCTCGGTCCAATGGAAGGGCAGAGTCACCCAACACCAGCATTACTACATGCTTCCTGGGCAACTCTGGTCACAAAATAATGCTTGTAGACCGAAGTTAAAGAAATAAACAATTTTTATTTATTTATTATTTATTTATTTATAAATCTTGGCTGGTTCTGTAAAAAAGGAATATGAGCATCAGCGGCTTCATTGACCATATTAAGAAATAAATCGTAATTTTTCTGCGGATCATTATTGATAAAAGCAAAACTTGAAAATTTATATTCTAAATAGGAGCTATATCCATCCCAGTTTGCTTTCTTATAGTTCCTTTTCTTTAGAAATTGATGGTGACTATTGTGATATGATAAATTAATCTTAACAATCAAATGATCACTACCCAATGACTCATTAGTAACCTTCCAATCTAACTGCAACGCTAAATCCGAAGAAGCAATAGAAATTTCAGGGGATGACTCCTGTACTATTCCGTTTACTAATTTAACGCGAGTAGCTGTGCACTCATTCAAGGAAACAAAATTATTTTCAATTAAAGAGTCAAAAATATTCGTGCCTCTTAAATTAGTCTTACAAAACCAGCTTGGATGATGCTCATTGAAGTCCCCAAGAATCAATGTTTTGTTAGTTTTAAAAGAAAATATTTCATCCCAGTCATTCTGAGAAGTTCGTATGGTAGGTGGACAATATATAGAGAGTATGTAATCTATATGTGTACAGTTAAAAATCTTAATACAAATTATTTCAATTCCGGATTAGAAATTTGGATAGATATCAGTCGAGTCTTTAAAGGCTTGTGTGAACAAATAGCAACCCCACCATACGAATCATCTCGGTCCTTGCGGTAAATATTGTAACCACTTATTTTAAACATAACTTCAGCATTCAACCATGTCTCACAAATGGCAGCAATATGAATTTTCTCGTTATTTAACAGCTGGTCGAATTCCGTGCGTTTGGGCCTAATACTTTGTGAGTTCCACTGAAAAATGTTTATGTTGTAATTACTATTCATTATTGACTAAAAAAGCTTTTAAAAAGCTTTGGCTGCCCCACCATAGGTACTAACCATTCAATAATTAATGACATTTCTTGAATCATTTTATTCTTAAGTTGTTCTTGTGAATTTGTAAATATAGCATATAACTTAGAAAGTAACTGCCTAAAATTAAAAGTTGATTTAAGCTTCTCTCTTCTCTCTTTTTTTCTCTTTTCTTAATTTTAACTCACTTTCCATATCATCATCATTATTATTAATTACTTCTTCTGATTCTGTAGATATATCGTTTTCAAACACTTCATTCTGATTTTGCTTCTTTTTCCTTTTTCTGTTTGTACTTATAGTTTTTTCTTGTAAAGTTTGCGAAACCTCCATAGCACCCGATTGTGATGTTAATGGTATTGATTTAGTGTTAGAAGTAATTTCAGAACGTAAGCGCGGTACCGATCGAGTAACGTTTGCATAAGACATTACCCCATCTTTGTTTTGTGAGATAGAGGACACAGTTATAGGTTCAGGCATATTATTATATAAAGATGTATTTGGGTTGAGATGTCTTTGGGCCGTCTTTAATATAGTTGTTTCTTGTTCTACTTGTACAGGTTGAGGTTCTGGAGGAATATATATTTGTAAGGCCTTTTTATATGAGCAATTGAATTCAGCCATTAAACTCCTTAGACGCTTTTCTTTTATAAATATAGGACAAGATCTATCCAACGACATGTGAGTCCCGATACAGTTAATACATCTAAATGTTGTGATCTCACAATTAGCATGCCCCTTTCCACACTTAGGGCATACAATCTTTTTAGAGGGGCAAACACGTAGGCTATGACCGAACCTCCAACACCTTGAACATTGAGTGACTGGGAAGACATAGGGGTTGACGTTAATCTTCATGCCGTAAATGTATACTGATGCTGGCAACGATAAGCCCTTAAATTGCAAACGTATTGATTCATTATCTTCCCATCCCTTTCCATCCGTTTTTCTGCGCTTTAAGCGTTTTACACCTATTAGCTCGCAATCACTTGAAATTACCTCCAGCATTTCTTTTTCGGTCATCTCCAGCTCAATATCCTTAATGACACCCTATGAAAAAGCAACCTCTAATGGCTTTTGAAATCTCTATCCTAACTCCTTCAAAGGTGTACAGTTCATCAGCTCATCAGCACTTTCTGCACATTCAAACTGCACAAATACTTTATACGCGTTCACATATTTCACACGGCTGATATGCTTAATATTATTGGTTTTTAAAAAGTTTTGCAAGTGCAAACTGTTTAGGTAATTTTTTGAAGCAATTAATATATACGAGTACATCAACTTTCTGTCCCACTCTCTTCCCATTTCTTGAAACCGTAATCCACCTTTCTTCCTCGTCCTCTTTTTCATTTAAAAATGTCAATTTATATATATGCGTTGTCATTCTTTATTATTGTACCTTCTCGCTAACCCTAAATCACTTTTCTAAGTTGATACGAATAAATTCTTTACGGTTTTAATCTTAATTCTTAATTGTCAATAAATTAATGTTACCACACTATCCGAGTGTCTTTACAAAGGGATGTTTTCTATCATGAAGACTGTCCGCTACAACACAAAACTTATAGCTTATGTAGTAAAATGTGTGATCTCAGATAAGTCTAAAGAGTAAACAATTAAAAATATATTTTGAAAGTAAATCTTAATGATAATTCGATGAAATAGCACCTTAATAAAATTGTTTAAAATACAATTTTAATTACTTTTAAGATTTTCCGATTGGTTTCTACTGGTTCTTACTATTATCATTCTTTCTTATTAAATTAACAGCCCATAACAAGCCACTGATGAACATAAACCACCATAGATAGCCACGAAGTACAGTCCTGATCCACCTGCATCCATCGACTGCCTGCGTGTTTCATCCTGATGTGTTTCATCGAAACTTCATCTAGTATTAGGTACTTAAAATCTTTTTGTTCTATATTTAAGGTAAACATACAACTATAAAAATATATAATTTATTAAAAAAATAAGTTATTTCAAAAGCCAATTAAGTTTTCACTAACAAATGATAACATACTTGATCATTTATGCTTAAAAAGTTAACAATAAAAGTTGCAATCTATATCTATACAAATAATAAATCTGTAAAAAAAAGTCGTGTCTGTAATTTAATATTTTCTGGAAAAAAACAAGTCCAGGGGACTAAATAAAGGGGCACGGGTGCTAAATTAGTGGTTTTTGGAATTTTCGTCAGTCTGTCTGTGTATTCAAGATTCACGCAAAAACTACTGGACAAGTTTCCATTAAATTTTGTATTTAGGTAGTTAGGGACCCGGGACTACTTATAGGCTACTTTTTATCCGATTACAGTACATCAAAAAAGGAGAGTTAAATATTTTCCATCCTTTAGATGTTAATTTCTATTTTATACGATTGATGTGTTTTCTTAAAATAAATAAAATATTTATAAATAAAGCCCAAAATTAGTTTTAACCGTTGCGTTATAAATTGAACTACGTCGACAATCTACCATATTACTGTTTTATTCACTTTTTCAAGACAGTGCCTTTTAACGTACAATCCAAAAAGTAGTAACATTTTGCCTCCAGTCACTAATAAATTAAATAATATAAATAAATTACATTTATATGTTTAAATAAATAAATTCATAATTGATTTGAAAATTCTAATTTACGGTTTTTAGTTTTTATTATTTCATTTTAGTATTGGTCAGATCTTAGAATTTATAATATCATAAATGTGTCGATTATTGAAAGCGAAATGGCGGTATTTCACAAAATTTTACAATGTTTGTTGACTATATCATGATATAGCTTGACCAAATCAATGAATAGAGATTGTTTGGCGATATTAACAACTAAACATGACATTGCTATTTCTTGATGTTATTGTTATATCTATTCTATACATATAATAAAAATGTAAATTGCAGATGTCTGTACATTTTATATTTTCGTATTAAAATTGATTGAGAGGGACTAAAAAAAGTAACTGAATACATTTCTATCATTTTTAGAATTGTCTTTCTTTCTGTTTGTTTGTTAACGTATTTTGATTTATATCAAAATAATCGTCAGGAAAATTTTGAAACATATTGTTACGAGCTTAGGGTTCGTGACAATAAAAACTGCCGATATAATTACCAAAATTAACACTTTAATTCACTTTACACTAATTAAAACTTAAAAGACACTAATAATTAATCACATTGATTGATTGATTTTATTTCGCTCCGAAGCTTCGCTTGTCTCGCCAAATTCAATACTTCCCCCGATCGCATCTTGCAGTGCCCTTATATAGGGCTCTTCCACGAAAACATCCAGAATATTCCAGAATATTCGAATAAATACGTGTGCCAACCGACCAAGCGCAGAAAGTTCGAGTGTGGGGCTTCCAGAAAGCTTAGTTCTTCAATACGATACTAGATGGCGCTGGCGGTTGAAAGATAAGTGATGTCATTTTCTGGAAAGCTCTCTCCCCGCTCTGTTACCCGACACTAGATGGCGCTAGTACCAGATGTCAACTTAGCCGCGCAACACTGCACCCTCCTAAGACATGCTCGTCCCGAGCATTATCGGCCCCATAATAACGTGCCAGACGATCCACATGGACGATCTTAGGAGTCCCTCTTGCGCCTTTCTGTATCCGGTAGGTTACATCGTTGATCCTGGTCACAATCCGGTACGGGCCGTCCCATTTAGCTTGAAACTTAGGAGATTTCCCTTTACTGCGGACTGGATTGTGCAACCACACTAGTGAACCTTCGTCGAACCCTTTGTTGTTCATTTTGCGGTCATACCGGGTTTTCATCTTTTCAGACATTTGCAGGCCCGATTTTCTGACGTACTCATAAATGTCATTCATTTTGTTCCGCAAGTCATTTGCATAATCGGTTATACTGCGTGGAGCATCAGGTGGTATCCCGGTGATCACGTCCGCAGGCAGCCGTAATTCTCTTCCAAAGTTTGCGAAAGCTGGTGTCACTGCTGTACTTTCGTGAACAGCGCTTCGATATGACAACAAAAACGGTTGTATGTGCTTGTCCCAATCTCGTTGCCGATTGTCTACAACTTTTGCTAGGTACCTCTCCAATGTCTGATTAAATCGTTCTACCATTCCATCAGATTGCGGGTGATAAGAAGTCGTTCTTGTTTTATGAGTACCCATAACTCGGCAAGTTTCCTGGAATATTTGAGACTCAAAATTCCTTCCTTGATAGCTGTGAATCTCTAAAGGTACTCCAAAACGACAGAAGACTTCATGAACCAGTTTATCTGCAACTGTTGAAGCTTCTTGATTTGGAATGGCGAAGACTTCTGGCCACTTAGTGAAGTAATCCATCACAACCATGAAATACTTGTTACTGCTTTCACTCTCCGAAAACGGGCCCGCCACGTCAATGACTATTCTCTCCCATGGTGCACCAACATTGTACAACTTCAATGCACCTCTACTACGAGTCTGAGGTCCCTTTACAGCCGCACAACTTGTACATTTGCGACACCAGTCCTCGACATCGTTTCGACAGTGGACCCAGTAAAACCGTTCTCGGATCTTCAGTAGAGTTAGTTTAACTCCCAGATGGCCTCCTGAACAATCATTATGGTACAGTTGTAGAACATCCGGTACTTTAGCTTTAGGAACAACCATTTGCAAATGACAGCTGCTTCCCTAACATTTTCCCATTTACGACACAGATCTCCATCCTGAAGCAGCAAGCTGTCCCACTGGGCCCAATAGCTTTTAGTGGTTGAACTCATCGCTGAGACGTCGCTCCACTTGGGCTTGGGAGCACTGGCCTTTATCCATTCCAGAATCGGCTTGATGTCCGGATATTCCTGCTTCTTCCCCTTCTGAGCTCGTTCACCTTCCCTTTCTAGGGTTGGCATAGGATAGCTGAATCGAAGATGGCCCGTTTCCCCACAGCCATAGCACCTAGGGCTGTATCCTTTATTGTGGTCGCGAACTGTAACTGCTGCAACCTCCCTAACGTGAGGGGAACGATGATCCTGACGCCGCCAGGCGGTTCCGTTAGCTGCACTACTCTCTCGAGATCGATCAACTTCCCTTTCTACGGTTCGCTTAGGGCAGCTGGATCGAAGATGGCCCCTTTCCCCACAGCCATAGCACCTAGGGCTGTATCCTTTGTTGCGGTCGCGAACTGTAGCTATTGCAACCTCCCTGACGCGATGGGAACGATGATCCTGCCGCACGGCTTCCATCTCCAGTGCATGGGCCAAAGCGTCCTCAAGCGTCTCGTGGTGCCCGAGTCTCACAGCAGCTCTGACTTCCAGGTCGCGGATGCCGTCGATGAATGTCTGCACCAGGTTCCCTTCAATGAGCGCAGGTACAGACCGGTATGCTTTTCGCACGAAAGACGTGTTCCAGGTGAGCGTCGCCATATCTCGCCTCCAATGCCTCAAGGAGTTGCTCATAAGTCACTTCCTCCCCGAGAGCTTCCAGAACTGTTAAGGCCTGGTCGCGCAGGCCTAGTGTGAGAGCAGTCATGGCCTGACTTTTATTCCAGCCATTCGCCTTCATAACAGCCTCGAACTGGATTTTGTAGGCTGACCAGGAAGAAGTCCCGTCGAACGGTGGCACTTTGAACCCGCGTAGCGAAGGTGTAGTAGCTACTACGGGAGCTGTAGTTCCATCACCCGGTTTGAGGTCGTCCAGCGTTTTCTTCACGTCAGCCACCACGTAATCAACCCGATTGTTCACTTGGTCGATTTGGGTTTTAGTTTCCTTGATTTGGGTTTCAGCTTCCGACAGGCGGTTGTCATGTTGAGCAACCCTATCCTTCACCTCCCCTTATCTCTTTCCCAAAGGTAGCATGAAGGTCCTTCATGAGGAGCATCTGCTCTTTCGACCGACGAGCCTGTTGCGCCTGCTGATCTTCCAACCGACGGGCCTGTTCCTCCTGTCGGCGGGCCTGTTCCTCTTGTCGGCGGGCCTGTTCCTCTTGTCGGCGGGCCTGTTCATCCTGTCCGCCCCGCAGCTGCTCTTCCAACCGACGGACCTGTTCCTCCTGTCGGCGAGCCTGTTCCTCCTGT